GCATCTTGACTGCATGTTTCATCAATTCCAGACTACAGAAGTTGGTAAAAAATCTTCAATTTCTTCATCTTTAGTATTAGTGGTTGGTGTGTAAATTTGAATAATAGTCATATTAACTTGGGTCCCTTGTTGTCAAGTGTTGTTGAGTTGGTTTCAACTCATAGCGACCCTGTATAGGGTTTCCAAGGAGCGACTGGTGGGTTTGAACCACTGACCTTGTAGTTAGCCACACCAGGCTTGTTCCTTATAGGCATATGGATATCTTCACTGCCTTATACTTCAGGATAGAGCTTGAAATGTGACCCCACTCCTCTTCAATTTCTCATTCCTGGCATAGTAAACAGTATGATTATCTGATTCAGTATGGCTAAATTTCAGCTCACGAATGCCTATGATATTGCCCTTTAGCATTACATTTAATTTTTGACTACTTCCAATTTTCCTAGATTCGTTCTTCATAATCCAGTGTTCTGCTTGTTAATGCATGTTTGCAGCTGCTTCTCATTTTGAGTTGTACTAAATCAGCAAATGAAGATCCTCAAAGCTTTACTCCATCCCGTCATATAGTCAACTCGACTTTGAGGAAGTCAGAAGCTCATCCTCAGTGGTATTTTGAGTGCCTTCCAACCTGAGGGCTTCGTCTCCAGTCTTGTATCAGACAACGTTCTGCTGCTATCCATAAGACTTTCACGGACCAATTTTTAAAGAAGTAGATGACCAGATCCTTCTTCCTAGTCTGTCTTCATCTGGAAGCTCTCCTGAAACTTGTCCACCATGGGTGACTCTGCTGGTGTTTGAAATACTGGTAGCATAGTTTCGAGCACCATTAACCATTAACTGGCTGTAAATCCTTAAGGATTTACTAAACTTTTCTCAGCCATGGTTGCCTCATCTGTAAAATACAAATTGGAGCATTAACTCTTAGGACTGTTAGAGAATTTAATCATCCCTTAGAACAGTGCTCAACACAGAGTAAGCACTATGAGTATGTAGGTGGATGGGATTATCTAGGGAAAAGAGTGGAAAGTGGGGAAGGTGTTTTGCCCCAACAACAGGGGCAAAAGCTTCAGGCAAAATGTCTGCATAGGAGACAGAGAAGGAACCATTGGATGGAAGAGGAAAATTAGGAGAGGTGAAGTCCCTAAAGACAAGGGAGTCAAGTTTCCAGTAGGTGGGGGTGTTGAAGTGCCTATGGATTTATCTGGCTTGCTTGGCTTTGAACCTGAACTTCAGTTGCATCTCCTTTTGGACCTTGATTTTGGAAGGTCTGTTTTACGCTGTCAGTTCCCAATGATTTCACTTCTGGTCAGATCCGATCCATACTTGGCCCAGGCCACCTTAAAGCCAAATCTTGGCCAACTCTTTTCTCCAGATTCCCTCCTTCCCTTCTCCTGAGTCCTATTTTATCCGTTGTTGACATATTGGTGAGATAGATTTATTTTTAATTAAAAAGACACAGGTGACTTCCCCCCCCCCCCATGGTCATTTTTATTACTATTGGTGTATGGTGGTCGTGTGCCGTGGTGAAGTCGGTTCTGACTCATAGTGACCCTGCATAGGGTTTCCAAGTCTGCAAATCTTTACTGGGAGCAGAAAGCCTCATCTTTCTCCCACAGAACAGCTAGTTGTTTTGAACCACTGAACTTGAGGTTAGCAGCCGGACTCATAACTGCTACGCTGCCAGAGCTTATATTCTACTCTAAAAAAGAAAAACCTCTAAACTTGGAATCTAAAAAAAGTAAGAAAGAAATCATCTTTTGTTTACAGAACTTTGACTATCTGATACGCCATCAAGAAAACGAACAGTTAGCAGGCGTAATGAGAAATGAAGACTATGTATGCAACTTTATAAAAGAAAAAAAATTGTTTTTGGAGGGGGTAATGATTATATTTGAAGATCAAAGAGCACAGCCTTTGGTATGGATTACATCTTAATGTAAAGAAAACAAAAATCCTCACCACTCACAGAGAAAAGATTGAAGTTGTCAAGGACTTCATTCTTCTTGGATCAACCATCAACACTCACGGAAGCAGTAGTCAAGAGATCAAACGACGTATTGCATTAAGCAAATCTGCTGCACAAGACCTTTTTATTTTTTTATTTTTATTTTTTATTTCTTTATTTTTTTTTTTAAGGTT